TTGCTGTTTGGCCAGATCTTATAATTTTTAGTTGATCTGCAAGAGTAAAGTATCGTTACACGATTCTGAGACCAGCAAGGCTGCCGCATCCTTCCACTCCTATGTTCTATGTTATATTTCCATTGTTTCAACCCTAAATTTTTCACAATAACCTGTTTACTTTGCTCTCAAGAGGTGTCGTCAGCTAAGTTGGCACTTGTTTACATTCCACTTGCAAGCAATAGATGATATTAGTAGTGAAGTCATCATAGGGATTCTCCATTGTATCGAATTGGATCCGTACAATAACATTGGCATAACCTCTTTCAATGTTACTAATGTGAATAAATCGATATGTATAACGCTTTTTTGTGACGTGTCACTAATAGCGTCTATTGAAATGCAATTATCCAACAGCTATAGGGGATTGACGGCAGCCTGATCGTGAGCTTAGTCAATCCTTGATTTCTGTTGGACTACTACATTGTAGTTGCTTGCGAATGTTATGTATTTAAGTGCCAACTTAGCTGACGACGCCTCTACCTCAAGTTAGCAGTATTACTTCTGATAGTTTTACACAAGTTTCTCCTTTCTCTTGAAGGCATAAAGTTATTTGACCAATTTCATCTACTCACCACCGTCAACCTTCTCTGGTATTGACTCGTGCAACACTCAAGAATATTTATTTTCGGTTCACAGTGTACTCTCCGTTTTTAATTGATCAGAATGGGTATGTAGAGACCTTAAATTAATTCAAAAAGAACTAAAGCATTTTTCCATATTCTTTGTATCTTTGTAAACTTTATTTGAGAGGAGTTAAACTCCTGTCTGAGGTAGCAACTTCAGCAGTAATCTTACTGTATCACTCTCCGCACTGTACGACTGGCTAAATGATCTGCTATAGACTGTTTACACAAGTAAAAGTAGTCAGCAAAAAATCGATTAGTCTCTTAGTGAGTGGTATTATTTTCGGAAGGTTGCCTTTGCAACAAATTAAAAACCTGCTCATCATATTGCAGGTACATGAAAAAAAGAAGCCCGAAGAATTTTGTTGCCCTCCTCCTAATGTAGATTTCTCCTTTTTACAGATTTAAAAACATATCAAAATGGCGCCAGAGCGACTGGATATCCTTGAGCATGAGTTGCTCTTTAAAGCAACGGATATCTCTGAGCATGAGTTGCTCTTCAAAGCAACCAATTTATCCAAACTGGCCTTCATAGATTTGTCTCAGGTATGAGTTATAAATATTTTTCATCAAGTAAAATCATTTTGTTAATCCTTGAGAACTGGAATACTTTTTTAGGTAAAATAGCTCATATTTTTTCTGTTCTCTTTTTCTTATATTTTAGTTCAAAACCTGTCAAAGATCTCTCCTAAAATGTTGCAGGCTCAAGAAATTAATTTAAAATTCAGAGTATTGCATTTTAAATTGACAAGTTCTTTTGAACAACCACTTACCGCTTAAACACAGCTTACAGCTTGTAATAATGACTAAGATTATGCATAGTGATGCACATAATGCAGAGTGCATGCGCATGCGTGATGCATAGTGGTGTACATAAAGGGAAGATGTCCCCTAACTTTTTAGTCCATCGTTTTTTCACCAACATTCTGTAATCTACTTAGTACAACTTTGATATGAGAACATTGTGTATTTATGGACAAAGAATTCAGTTAAAAGTGTGAACTAAGTAATGTTGAAGCTGTGCACCAAAGTGAGAAATCATGTATCTCCATCGCAGTGTTTCAAAATTTCTGCTCCTATTTCCCCCCCCCCTTTTTTTGAAGCGGAGGAAGCCAACTAACTTTTTTTTTTTTTTTTGAGTTTTTTTTTGGCTTCTATTCCTTTATATTGACAAGATAGGAATCTACAGCCATCTATAGACAGAGGAGGTTATTAATGGTACAAGCGGTTTAAAGAATAAGAGTGTATAGTAAGGTTTTTTTAAGGTTTTTAGAGAGTTGGGTGGGTATATAGTAAGGTAAGAGTCCCCTACACCAGCTTCACGCTAAGAGGCTCAACATAGCGACTAGTAAGAAAATAATTGACTGAGCCATGGAGAACATACCAAGTGAACAATCAGGACAAGTTGTTTGGTAGGGATTAGTCGGGTTGTATGAATTACTGGGTTGGATTAGTGGAAATTTAGTAGTTATGGGATATGACCTTTAGAGGGATATGTTATTGGTAGTTAGGAAGTTATTTATTATTTTATATTTTCTTAACGAGGGTTTATGTAATAATGAAGTTATATTGTAGGGGGGGAGATATTTTATATTTTTTAAGTCTTGAAACATTTTATCTCTGTCTTTTAGTTTTTCGCATTGGAAGAGGATATGGTTTAGATCGCCTAGCAGGCCACATTACATTTATGACTAACTTTATGACTTTATGAAACTTGCGTAGAGTATTCTGCTAATGGAGATGTTGCATGTGTGAGGGATTTGCGATTAGGGGATATCCCATCCTACCCTGAGAGTCCACGTCTACATAAAAAAAACTCTCCATGCAAAGATAGGGAGCAAATACATTAGCAGGGTTGCCGTGTTTTCAGTTTTGGAGTCCCTCTGGGAGTCCCCAAATAAAGTGGCAACCCTGCTAATGTATTTGCTCCCTATCTTTGCATGGAGAGTTTGTTTTGATGTAGAGGTGGACTCTCAGGGTAAGGTGGGATATCCCCTCCATTTTGGCCTCACTTTGAGAGCTTTTTTTGAGCTTGGGAGATGATTTCAGAGAAAACCGGTGGCACCATCGTGTTTCTTGCGAAATTTTACCAAGAATCAATGGTCAAATCGCAAATCCTTCACACATGCAACATCTCCATTGTAAGAGTGAAGAAAAGTTAAGCAAACTTTCCAGGAGTTATGATGAGGAATTTTTGGAAGAAAACACATAGTATGTCAGGAAGTCTGCAACGTGCAAACAGAGATACGTGGTTTTACTCTTAGGTCATTGCCATAGTTCTTATACAACAACTTTTTACCACCATATTCCAACATATGAATTACATTTCATCATCAAAAGATGTTAAAAAGCTAAAATAAAAATATTCACCCTGATTTTCAAGATTAAATTTTCCATTTGACTTGTACATTTTTCAAAAAAAAAAAAAAAAAAAAAATATCAAACCTTGTGAATGAATGCTCTTCAAAGGAATATTGGGATTTAATTTAAAATGAAGGAAATAATTTCAAAACTAATTTTGCACCAGGAGAAATCATAATCATATCTTTGTCAGTCCAACAACCATTCGTACTATTCAAATTTAAACTGGAGGTTGATACCTAAGTTCTGAATGATAGGATTTACATTCTTCTAATGCATTGTTGTCAAACTTCATGCCCATTATCCAAAGGAGGTTGAAAAAAAGTGCCCAGCTTTCATTCATGCAGAATGTATGTGCAGATGTATGTTTTGTGCTCCAGATCTTTGCTTTATGATGTTTGCCAAACTGAAGCAGAGAAACTTTTCAAGGTTTTAAGTTAAAATTTGGTGTCAGATTTCAGGAAAAAGCCTTCATGGTGACTTATTTTTTCTGGAACTCACCATCTCTTGAATTCGCAACCTGGCTGCACAATTATTAATGTTAATTTTTGAAGACACCCCAGAAGAGTGGTCCACATGGTCTTTCTACCACATGGTTCCATAAGAAAGTGGTTGGTGTGTTGGTGACTGAATATTTAAATTTATTGCAGTCTTCGAAAATTTGATAAAAAAAAGCTTTACAGAATGAGAAAAAAGCTTATCAAGGCACTTAGGAGGTGCACCTTAAAAGCCTGCAAGAGAAGCAAAATATTATAGTATTTAGGTATGACAAAGCTGAGAAAAAATTATATATACTTACTTATTTCACTTGCCCGTCAAATACATTTTTCAGTACCTGGAGGCATACATGAGGAATATTAGGAACCTCTACAATAACTCCTCAGCAGTATAAGAAATGAATTTTGCTGAAGCTGCGATGGCGATTCAGAATTGACTGATTATCTTTGCCAAGAATGTCGACTCAATTTGGGCAAGAACTAGTAGCATACGGCTTTCTGCTAACATAAAGTAAGTGATCAAAGTATTTTCTCAGGGGCTTTACTCCTTCAATAGGTGCTAGATGAAGATTCTCCATGTACATCCCACAAACCAAGTTAAGAAAAACATATTGGCAAAACATGGCAGTCTGAGGTGCTTTAAGGCTCTCTCTCATGTATAGATGTGTCCGCCATCTGTCATGAATATGATGCAACTGTAGTTCATATCTATACCAACAGACAATATATAAAGCGATATATGCATAGATAGCGGAGGTCAAGTTTTTAAGCTTTTAAGTTTTGAGAAAATGACGTTTAAAGTTTTCAAAGCTGTGCACATTTGCGTCTGTACAGCAAAGAGGGTTTTGTCAAGGAAATCGTTTTAAACAAAAGAGCAATTCTTTTTCTAAAAAATGAGCTCTAAGAATTTTTTAAAGCAAATTCAATGGAAGGGCTTGGGAGACAAGGAGGATGAGTGCAGCTTTTGAACAATTTTAGATATTAATGATCAAAACTAAAACTAGTCCCAGAATATATTCTGTGAAAAAGCCACCACCAAAATCCAATTTTTAACCATCAAAAACTGAGTTTGTAATTTTTCTCCGCAACAAGGCTCCATCCTACTTTAAACTTTTCAAAACCTACCCTTGAAATAGCAAAAACTGCTCTTAGCCCACTTGTCATCCAAAGCCCTCAATTGAGATGCAGTGATTTTAAAAAATGACCACTTCTCCTGTTCTTACGTAAAACTATTTTTAAGACATAAAATTAACTACTTATCTAATGTAAAAAAGGAAAGTGCTTTAAATGAATCAACGTATGATAACTGTTGAGTTTTTTAATGATTTTTCTAAGAAACTAAGTGTTTGCTAACTTTCAAATTGGAACCAAGAGTCAAATTATATTATTGATCTTCTAAAGTAGGGAAAATATTGGAGAGGATGCCATCCTACAGATACCCATCTGCAACAGTCTTATTTATATATAAGAACCGAAAGAACAAAAATGATTATGTCAATAGAACACAGAGAATGTTAGATGATGGTGACTTTGTTCAAGTAATCAAGGATCCTACTAACGACATAGCAAAGAAAGTGAGCAACGCCTTGAAAGCCGTCACAGTGATGGATGACAAAACTAAAGCAAGATTGAAAGCTTCTAATCCGGTGACACCTAAACTTTACACCTTACCTAAAACCCACAAACAAGGGGAAAAGATGAGACCCATTGTTAGTAACATTGATTCACCAACTTACAGCCTCGCAAAGTGGTTAAATAAAAGTTTCCTGCAGCTAGGACCTATCAATAGTATGTCGGTCAAGAACAGCAACCAATTCATCAATGAAGTTCAAGACACAAAAATAAGTGAAGATCAGGTAATGGTTTCTTTTGATGTTGAGTCACTCTTTCCAAGTGTACCGATAAGGAAAACCCTGGATATTTTAAAGAAATGGTTGCTAGAAAAAGAGCTAGATGAAAAAATTGTCAACAATCTTGTAAATCTAACAGAAATTTGCACCGAAAACCGGTTTTTCCAGTTCAATGGTAAAATTTATAAACAAGAAGACGGTCTAACGATGGGCAACCCTCTATCCCCCTTCCTTGCAGAACTTTTCATGAGTGACTTGGAAAGAAAGATTAAAAATGGTTTCAATTGGCTTTTCAATGTGTGGAGAAGGTTTGTGGATGATGTTTTTAGTATATTGAAGAGAAGAAATTTAGATGACGCCTTGAAGTTCTTAAACTTGCAAGAAAAGTCGGTTAAGTTCACCTACGAGGTTGAGAATAACGAGAAACTTTCCTTTCTCGATTTAATGGTACATAGGCAGAAGGGAATGTTAAATTTTGACATTTTCAGAAAAGGAACGCATACTGACATTTACATTAGTAACGACTCTTACAACCCTCCTAGCCAAAAATTGAGCATTTTCAATAGTTTGATCCACCGGATGCTCAGTGTTCCTTTGTCGCCTATGGATCGTAGTAAAGAAGAGCAGAGAATTTTGGAAATTGCAGTGAAAAATGGTTTTCAAGTTGAAACTGTAAGGAATTTAATTCGTAAAAAAGAATTTCGCAAAAGGGTTCAGGAAGTGACCACTCTTAAAAGTATAAGAGAGGATGAAGGCGCCTTTGTGAAGATCTGCTACCATCCAAACCATTTTTCAAAGTTTAAAAAAGTGTTTCTGAAGTATCACCTAAAAGCAGTTCCAGTTAATAGGCACAATTTGAAATCAGTGTTCCATGGTGATCTTAAGGACCAAGTTAGAGAAGAAGACAGGGCTGGCATCTACAGTTTGAAATGTAAAGACTGTGACAAGCAATACATTGGGCAGACAAGAAGGAAGATGAAAGTAAGAATAAAAGAACATCAAAGATGTATTAAGAACAGAGAAATTGACAAGTCAGCAGTAGCTTTGCATAATCTTGAGACAGGACATCGGTTCGAAGAGGAAGGGAAACTGTTAATTGGATGCAACGATAGAAGGAAGCTGAACATCTTGGAAGCTATGGAAATGCACAAAAAGAGAGACAAGTTGGTAAATTTAGATTTGGAATGCCTGGAAAACTGTTTGCTCAAAGTGATTGGCAGCACTGATAGATTCCACACCAAGCAGGATGTAAACAACAACAGGCAGTCGGAATTTAGCCTTGAAGAAGTGACCGAGGTGTCCCGAAACGCGTCGGCTTTTTAATTTTATTTTGTGAGTTTGAGTTTTTTAATTTTCCGATTCTTCTCTGTTTTCTCAGTCTTATTTATGTTTATTACTAGGTACTTTAATGTGCTTATTTACACTATCTTCAAGGAGATCAATGAGCTTGGTTAAGATGAACAGCGAATTCTAACGTCCGCTTTTTTTAAGTTATAACTTGGTTTCTTATTCATATCTTAATAGATAATTATGCAAGAAGTCTGAAACTTGTCACCAACTCTTGAGGGTTCATGGATTCCATTAAATTGTTCCATTAAAGAGAGAGGGCAATGCACGAACAGGTGGATAGGTTGACGCGATGGTTCTATCGAAAGGGTTAAATTAAAAACTCTGTTTTCTCTGAGAATTTAGTTAATTCCAAGTCATTTTTTGATACATTTGTCGAGGATACTTGATAACCTCATATTTATTCTTTTCAGCCGGAAAAAAAATAACGATGATGAAGACAATGAGGATTGTGATGTTGGAACTGGCGAAGAAGGTGCTAAGCAAAAAAAAAAAAAAAGCTAAGAAGAAGAAAAAGGGAACATTTAATGTTGAAGAATTTCAACTCCTTCCTTTTCTCAATACTGGTGAGAGTGAGATTGTAGGACATGTAATCATTTAACCAAAATTTGGAAATATTTCTTGAAACTCCCACAACTTAAGATCTCTAACAAAGAAAATTGCAAGGTGTATCACAAATTCTAGCCTCTGTCTTCAGGGTTACATAAAGTAAGGGTGCCAAAAATACCTTATCTGCGAATTGCAACAAACAAGGCAAATCTTGGGTTGAAGGGCAACTTGCGGGAGTGATGACCCCTATTTTTCTCTCTTTTTAGCCCTTGCTTAGTTTTCGAAAGTCTAGAAAACCTGGAAAGTCAGAGAATATACAGTCATCCAGGAAAGTCAGGAATTTAGGGAACTCCTGGAAAGTATCGGAATATTGCGAATAGCGCATCTGCTTAGCAACTTCAGCTAGTGCCGCTCAAGAGAGTGGGAACAATTTTGTAGTGTCCTTTCCTGTCAATTAACTGATCGAATTCTCTATCATTCCATCAGTCAAACTGTCTATTCATTGACCCGTTAGATTAACCAGTCAAATTGTTTGTTGAGCAACCAATCAAATTCTCCGTCAATCAATAAGTTGGATCATCTGTTTATTTGACTAAAAGTCTCTCCATTGACTAGGCAAATCATTTGTCTATGGACCATTCAACTCCTCTTTTGATCAATCAGTTGAATCTTCTTTCGATCGATAAGTCAAATTTTCTATCAATGGAACTTCCGATCCTAATCAATTTGCTTTGTTTTTTTATTTTTCAGGTAAAAATATTGATATGAAACTTGACAAGAAAGAGGATAAACTAGCAAAGCAATCAGATAAACTTGTCCTTCCCACCTCTTTGCGAACCAAAAGTGGTTAATAAATCGAGAGATATTTTCACACCTGAAGGAGAAGCAGTCTGGAAAATGGATGAATTCAGGTAGAGACTATTTTGTTTTTCCTCCAATACTAACTTGTATTATTAATAGTAAATGTGTCTTCTATTCCAGAGCAGCCACTGTTGGTAAAAATATCAGGAAAAATTACGAAAATTGGTCATGAATCAGATAAGTTCGAGTGTGTCAAGCATTCTTCAACTATTTGCAGTTTAGCACATGGAAAAGTGAATCATTTTATTCAGTTTATTACATACAGTTGGTTTTTATAATTAGACAATTATCGATTCATTCAGGTAAAAAATCAGGAAAATCCAGAATGTAATTTTAGCAGATACATTGTTTTTCGAAATGTTTTAAAGTCTCACAAAACGTTGATCTTCTGATAAATCCGCAGGAAATTGTCAAACTTCATCTAACTACTTCTTTCATTACACATTTTTTTAACAAATCGCCAGGGTTTTCGGCGTTCTAGAAAACCTGAAAAGTCTAGGACTTCGGCAAGTAGCGCAGCTACTGCAGCCGGTATTAGTTTTAGAGAGCAGGGACAACTTTCAAGTGCCTTCTCTATAATTTAAATCTAAGTGGAAATTTCACGCAAAATTTAACAGCAGGCAGCGTAATTCAAAGGAAAAAAATCTAAGAGCTAGTTTTGTCCAAAGATCAGGGAAAAGCAGGGAATCACAAAATTCTGGAGTCAGGAAAAACCCGAAAAAGTCAGGCAAATGAAGCAGTTATAAGATCCCGTTCCGCAAAATCATTGAGCCTCGATTTTCAATCTACAATTTTGTGAGAGTTTATTGATGTTTTTATTGACACCTAAACTATGTTTACAAATCTCCTGCTCTTCTCCAGCTCGTTTTATATTTTTATTTATTTATTTTTTCTAAAAAGTAATTTTCCCTGAGTATTCTGTTCATTGAAAAACTTTGGTGATTTTAAAGAAAATCACATTCATAAGTTTTCATCTTTCAGTTCAGATTTTTCCAAATATTGTCTCAATTTATCGTTTAAGTCAGACACATTAAAATTACCCTAAGCAATCCGTAATTGTTTGACCTTAGGGTCCATTACCTAGTTCATTTTATTATACTCCACCTCTTTTTTCCCCAGTTTATTTTGACCCATTACGAAAAGCGGTTACCTCTAAGAAGATTATGAACCTGAAGATTGGTGTGTGTTACCTGAAAGAATCATCGAACAAAGTTTTACAGGTACAAAACACATTTGTATCCCTTGAACAGTCAAATCAACCATTATAAAAACAATCTACGTATCTCCTCTTTCTTAAAAACTGTTCCACGCACATATTTTAATGTCAAACCTTGAAATCATCAACTCTTTGGAATTTAACCTTAGTTGAGAACTTAAAAACTCTTTTGAGCAGATAAATAAATGAAAATGAGTAAATTCTTTTTGAGTTGTAAAGAAATGTTTAGATTAAAGAGTCAAGTTGTTTTTTATACAGCTGATTTTACTGTGTAATTTTGATCTTGAACTATTGGCTTGAAATAAAATATTTTACGGTAGATGTTCAATCATTGAAGATGAGTGATTTGCCTCTCATTTAGTTTTCTGCGGCATTAAACGCGGTGCATTTTACTTTGTCCGAAAATGATTGTATCAAAGTTTGGAGTTTAAAAGCGCCACTCCACTGACTGATATCTGTATCTCTGGATCGTTTGATCGGGATGTTCCCATTTTTGGCATGAGGGCTCCTTGGGGGTTGGTGAAACGAGATAAGCGGCATTTTCCCTAGTGATGCATTCCACCCCAAGTTACACAGGTACGTAAAAGGATCGTACAAGTTTGTATAAAACGTTGTGCTTATTCATTAACCGGAATAAAAGGGAAGATCCATCATCCCTCATCTCTTTGTTTATCCATCATCAATATATCGTTTGATACAAAGCAGACCAAATATACCAATCTGATAAAAATTCTCGTCTTAATTTAATTATAAGTTATCCTGATTTTTGAAAAAACATCAGTGAAGGTTGCCAATTCTTTTCTCATGTGAACGGTAGAAATAATCTGACAAAAATTGATTCATAATTTTTCATCACCTAAGCACAAGATGATTTGGTTATTGAGATTAAAAAGAAAAATTAAATGGTATGTTGATCTATTTTTTTCCTGAAAAATCTATGTTGTAATGTAAATTTCTCCTCTGTACATCCCCAGCGTATTTCCAGATTCGACTCTCTAGGTTGTATCCCTTTCCATGTCCTCTTAATGTCAATAAAAATAAATTGAGGTAATTTTTCAACGACTTTCTCAGAGGCTGCCAGGCATCCTGTTAATGAGGAAATTTTCATTAATGACATGGATCACTTGATGATGAACAGACACAATCCTCTGTCCCCGCCTCCTCCAACACCATCACCAACACCATCACCAACCCCTCTGCTTATGGACCTCCCCATGAACGATTCGCCTGAAAGTTTGAAAGATACTCAAAAAGAAACTGAGGAAGAACATGAGTGTCGGCAGAAGTAAGTGAAAAGCGCTGTATGAACTTTCAGGCATTGGCAAACTTCCTTTGATAAAACATGAATTTGATTGGAGAAGCTGTATTTATTTTTCTTCCAATTTTTCGGATTATTATGTTCGCAAGTAAATCCAAAATATCTGAAACACCAAGGAAAAATATTTCTACCTAAATAATGTTTTTATCGGAGGAAATTTGACAGCATTTGAATGTTCTTATGGCGATTTTCCATAGCACATCATAAGAAAATAAAATGGTTTGACTTTGATGCAAGAGACTGAGGAAGAATATTTTTGAAAAGTCAGGTATATTTTGTCTAAAATTTGAGGATTTTTGATGGCGAACCAGCTTTTTATTGTATTTATTTTGCTTTATTTTCCTCTGTTCATTTTTTTTTATTTATTTTTTTTTATTAATACCTAATATGAAGCTTTTCTTCTTCCTCTTGATTTTTGTAATTTTCTTTATAAAAACTTTGTATAATATGCATGGTTTTCTTGATGAGATCAAGCATTTCTTGAAAATGATGATCAAAACACCTGTCTGTATCATAAGCGTAAAAATCTTATTTTTATCTTACAGTGCTGAGTTTGTTTCAAAGGATAATTTATTTCCAAAAGTTAGCAAGACTTGTAATGATAAATATTTTTTTCAGTAATGGATAAATCTTTCACTCGCTGATTTTACTGTAGACTTTTTTCCTTTTGAAAAACTACAGCCATTTTAGGCTTGTACCCATTGTCAGGTTTTTAAACAAAAGATGAAAATAAAAACGTAATCTCGAATTATTTTCATTTTTTGTTTTATAACATGACAATGTGCCCAAGTTCAAAATGGCTGCAGTTATTTTCAAGGAAAAAATTCTTCAATAAAATCAGAAAGAATTTACCAATTTCTAAATCAACAGTGCTGATAATTTTAAACAAAACTTGATTGACTTTTCCTCAAATTATGATTTAACGAGTTCTTCATTGAATTGCTTTTCAGAATTCAAAAAAAACCAGAGCGAGAAAACATTGTGTCTCTAGAAAAAGTTATAGCAAAAGCGTGGGAACCCATCCCTTTGGACAATTGCAATACGAATCAGACTTTGGTAAAACGAAGAGTATACAAGTTGGATGCAAGTGATTTGTCCAGTCCGGTTAGTACTACTTTTCTGAATTACTTTTCCATTTTCCTCTCTCCGATTTGTTCTGCGTTAATTGTAATACCTTTAGGACTGTGATGCACATGACTTGGGTGCCTTTTTCATAGCTTCTAAAGCAGTGGCATGTTGTGCTTTGCAATGCATCGATTGATCTGCCATTTGAACTAATGGAAAAGAATCGATAAACAGGGTGTTCGTAAGGAACACCTTAATCGATTCTTTACTATAGCTTCAAATGGGGAAATATTGTTAATTGATTGTTCACGCCTTGCCGCTGTTCTAAAGGTCATTTTCTAGGAGCAAAGAATAACTTGAAAAATTGGGTGTGGTTCATCTGTGGATTGACTGATATAATTTGACGCAGGACCACAAGTTTTCATAATTGTATATTTGTTTTTTAATACCCTCCAAAGCACTTGCAGTATTCGATAAATGAATAAAATTTCACAAATATTGATCGATCAAATAATCATGAGGTGGCAGATCTGATGATTTATGAAACTCCACCAAATTAACAAATGCGCAATTTCTTGAACATTCAAGCAACGAAATTGGCTGAAGTAAACTTCTAAACAAAATTGATCAGCGTTTTTATTTAGCAGTGGTCACAAACAACTTCCCATTCATAAGATAAACAAGAGTCTTCTTGAATCAAATTGGGCTTTGTATACAAGTTTTTGTAGGCTTAAGTAACTAAGCAGCTTTCCTTCTTCACCCTGCGTTGTTCCAAGTGTAAATAATGTCCAACAGCTAAGCCTAAGCTCTGAGACTGAGGTTCGTGTATGTTCATATCTCTGAGACCGCGAGAGTAATGTTTATTAGTGTGCAATTTATCTCAAATAGATCATGGTTTCCCTATCAGTGAGAAGTTTGAATACACATATTGAAAAACGTCAATGTCTTGATGAGGAGTTACTTTTAATAATTGTTCTACATTAAATTTTGATGAGAAAACGAGTGTTACAACGTGCAAATTTGCACTTTGTCTCTTTAGTGGTCCATTAAGTAAAATATTACTCAGTGCAATAAGTATTTTCCTCTATGACTTCCAGCATAACAAAAAAGTGACAAGGAAACTTCCATGCAATGATGAACCTGATTTTTACGGTGTATTGTTTTGAACAGTATCTAAACCAGCGAAAAATTTTCTCATTCATCTTTGTCATTTGTCATAAGTTGATTTCATTCTGTGTTCTGCAGAGAAAAAAGAAGAATAGAGGAAAGACAGATACAGAGTCAGAAACGTTTATTGTGTCAGAAATATTCACAAAGGGTAAATACTATCTTAACAAAGGCCATGGGTTCGATCCATGAGTTCTAGCGGAATTCCCCGCGGTACAGATGAAAAGACTGAAAGACGCTCCCAACAGGAAGAGAAAAATATTAGGTAAGTGAAACCATCTCTGAAAATAAGAGTTTTAATTATCTGCAGGAAAAGCAAAAGTGACATTTGTCCACAAGAATTCAAAATTAAGGAGCTGTTTACGAAAAGGGTCTTTGGTGCCTAGGACCCCTTATGTGGAAAACAGAGCAACTGATTCTCATAATTGATTGTTAAAAATTTCAAAACTAATAATCCTCAAAAACAGAAACAAAAAAGAAAACATGCTCAGACCGAAAATCTTGGTTGGATCTCATTTGAATAATGGAATCCAAAACATTCCCCTAAGGTAATTCTACTCAATTTTTACTCATGCTCCGATCCTCATTTGTTAGAAGTTAGAGGAGTCTTTCTTTTCTTTCTGATAGATTTAAAAAAATCACCTTAATTTGTTTGTCAGGAGTGTCTACAAGAATTGATCGAATATGATTCGGAAGTTAGGCGGGTAGCGAGTTCGTGAAAAGTCATTGAAAATCTGAAAAAGTCGGGGAATTTTTCTGCGGACTCTTGATTTCTTTCTTTCAATCGCAACATTTAATTATTCTCTATCACCACCACCAGCTCCATTGTGGAAATTAGAACTTTGGCCTTTAAGTTCTTGAATTTTGGATTTTTTCAATTTTCGAAAACTTAGCGAGAGAAACCTTTTGTTGAAAGCATTTTTATAAGAAATTTCAGAAATAAAAACATTGAAAATGCATGAAAAAGTCTGGGAATGTAATACTCATGTAATTGAAGAGCTTGTGCATTTTTCTACCTTTTTATAAATTAATTTAACTATTTTGTGTTTGCATCTGTTCTAGAAATGTTAGATGATAAAATAAGGATTAAAAAATGTTAGATGCTGCTTCAGAGTAAGAAGGAGGCGAGTTTTTTCTTTTGTTGACCATTTTTTAAAACACAGATCAAGTTTGAAAGATGATTCGTCTTTTCCCGGCCATAAGAACGTAACTTTATTCCAAGGTGGCAAAATTGGCATTGGTTTGCCAAGGCATTGGTTCGTTTCCTTTTAAAGAAAGAAAATAGGGGCAGAGATTTTGAAACATTGCCAACAAGATATGCATTTTTGCAGTTTCACTGTTGATACGTACTGAAAATACTGCGGCTAGTAACATGCTAACAACTACTTCTACTGTTTTACTGGACATATTTATCAAGTTTGAAATTTATATTTTTTTAATTTTCAGTATTGTCACAAAAGGTTTGCTCTATCACTCCAAGTAGAACACAAGCAGTTTTCGATCAAGGTGTTAATCCCTCTGCATGTATTCTACCTGTGTCTGCAGTTGTACCATGTCTAAGTTTTTTCCTATGTCGTCCACTTTTTGGAGGAGCCTCCAAGCTCAATTTAGTTTGTCATCAGAGGACTCTTGAAATGCTGCTCCAAAACGTCAAGTTGTAAAGAGGTGAGTTATTGAACTTGTACATGTTTCTTTGAACTATTATAACAGGATTTCCGGTGGTCTGTGGAACCTGGAAAGTCAGAGACTTTATGGAGAGCCTGGACAGTCAAGGAACTAAAAATTGTGAAAGAGGCTGTCCCATTTTCCATAGGAAATGGCTGCAAGAGCTTTTACATCCGTACTTTCAGGAATCATAACGGATCATCGGAGAGGCCTAAATCCGGTGACATTTCCCATCCAGCCCTCCAAGGGGGAGGGGGTCAAAGTTCAAACGCATCGACCACCATAAATTTTGAACGAAGCGACGTATCAACTTGATCTTGGGCTCAAATGAAAGCTCTTGACAAGACCTTTCATTTTAGGTATGGTATAGTTTGTTTTTGCTAATTTTTCAATGTGGAAAAAATCATTGTTTGATTTTCAAGCCCGAAAAATTCGGTTTTTCGGGTTTTTCTATTAAGAGGAACGCATGAATCATTATAAAAACCAATTTTAATGAATTTCAAACGAGCTATTGTTGAACTTGGAGAAACAAATGGTTCAAAAGTCATGACCGTTCAAAGTTGGCTTGGCGCGCTGTTTTCGAAGTGCGCGGAGTGTATACTCGCGTGCTACCCCTCTCTACCTTTTCCCCTGGTGTCCGCTTCAGCTGATGATAGATACAGAAAGGTCCAAAGCTCCTTTCACCTAAAGAATGACCAATCATTAGTGCAATAACACTTTTATTTCTAACGAAAAAAAGGAAATACAAATAAATTAAATGCTAATAAACGATAAGACGCTGGCATACATTATTTTTTCGCCCCCTCCCCCTTCACGATTTTATATTTAATAGCCAAATCAAGCCTTTCATCATTGCGGTATCTGATTATTCCTGTGCAGATAAATCTTGATAAGATGGGAATAGATCAGAGAAAAGTATGCGAGTTTCAAATGCTGGTCCGCTAGTTGCGTACAAGAGCCCATGAATATTATCTGCAGCTTTTGAGTGTATTTTGGGATAAAAGAGGCTTGATTCGGCTATTAAATGTAAAATCATGAAAGGGGGGGGGGCGAAAAAATAATGTATGCCAGTGTCTTATCGTTTATTAGCATTTAATTTATTTTTATTTCCCTTTTTTAGTTTGAAATAAAAGTAATTTTGCACTAATGACTGGTCATTCTTTAGATGGAAGGAGCTTTGGACCTTTCTGTATCCGTTATCAGCTGAAGTGGACACCAGGGGAAAAGGTAGAGAGGGATGGCATGCGCACTTCAAAAATAGCGCGCCAAGCCAGCTTTGAATGGTCATAACTTTTGAATCATTTGTTCCCCCAAGTTCAAAGATAGCTCGTTTGAAAGCTTGAATCAAGGACTTTCATTAAAATTGGTTTTTTGTAATGAGGGTCATTTCATATAGAACCTACCAGCCATGCAACCGCCCGACTCGGATTTTGATGATAAATTTTTTCTTGATCAGACCACCAAATAATGAACTTATGCAAAATATTAGGTCTCAAATCGAAAAACTCACTGAGATATGAATTTTTGAAGTTCTAAGAATTTTCAAGAAAGTGACGTTTCGAACTTCCGAGAAAGAGAGGGTCATTTTTCCCAATAAAATTTACACCGGGCCCATTTTTCGTCGGATTGAAGTGAAAATTTGACACAATGTCAATGAAAGTATGTAGATTTGAGAAAAAAATGCATGAAATGTTCGACTTCACTCATTGATGTGCTGCAGTTGATTGTTTGTTGTGATTTTGTCTGATTTTGGCGACAAAACCTTCCCCTCTTCAGATGCCTATAACTTTTGAGCTGTAGGTTATTTTTTGCTTCAATTTTTTTTAAAATGCTCCTAAGAGCATTAGAAAGACGCCTGAAGAACAATTCTGATGGTGTTTTGGGCTTTAGTATCTTTTTTTTTCACTTTTGTCCAAAAAAGGCGTAAAAAACTGAAAATAACTCCAAAATGATTCCGATAATCGACCATTACCCTAAAAAGTCAACTCAAAAATCGCTCATTTTTTGCTTGAATGGTCCTTACTGTGTGTACAATATGTTTGAAAAATACAATCAATGGTATTTTGGGTTTAAATATCTTTTACTTCGAGTTTTTGCCCAAGAAAGGCCCGCAAAACTGAAAAACACTGAAATTACGCTAATTGTCGGCCCTAACTTTGGAGTAGCAACTCAAAAATCGCTCAGATTTTGCCTGAATGGTCCTTAATGTGTGTACAATATGTTTGAAAAATAAAATCAATGGTATTTTGGGTTTAAATATCTTTTACTTCGAGTTTTTGCCCAAAAAAGGCGCGCAAAACTGAAAAACACTGAAATTACGCCAATTATTGGCCCCAACTTTGGAGTAGCAACTCAAAGATTGCTCACATTTTTACTGAATGGTTCTAACTGCATGTGAAATGCATCTGGGGAATTAAAGTGATGGTATGTTCGGTTTCCACAACCCTCCTCCCAACAATTTTACTCAAGACAGGCTCGCTTAACTGAAAAAAGCGCTAGGAAAATCTCATTAACCGGCCATTGCATTAAAAAAACAATTGATTGGGGGCCCAGGTTTTCAACAAAAGACTCTTGTTGTATGGGAAGCATCCTAACTTGAGAAGTGAATATAGTGTATTCTTCGTTGTAGTAATTTTTTCCTTCACTCCTATCTTTAAGATCGGTATTTAAAGTGAGGAAATAAAACTGCAGGTATCCCTTAACTGGTGGGCATCCCTATTCACATTTAAATGCGATTTACTGACTCTTGGATGTGTGTTCGCCTGGCAGTTATGTGTCTCTTTCGCACTAGCAAGCGTCCCGCCAGGCGATTTTCTTTCTCTCTCGCACACTAAAGAGTCCCGCCAAGGGCAACCGCTCGTAGAGGGTCGCGGGGGAACGCGATGCGGCTTTGCCGTAAAAACAACGCAAGTCCAACCGTGCGACTTTCTTTCTCTCTCGCACTTATGCGCGAGCCGCCTGGTTTTTTTCTGTCTCTCTCGCACACAATCGCGTCATGCAAGGTGATTTTCTATCTCTCTCACAATTATACGCTTGCTACCTGGGCGATTTTCTAGCCCTCTCGCACACTTGAGCGAGGCGCCAAGGGCAACCGAGGGCGCAACCTCTCTCAGAGGTTCGCGGGAGAACGCAAGGCGACTATGCCGTAAAAACAACGCAAGTCCAACCGTGCGATTTCCTATCTCTCTCGCACACTTGAGCGAGCCGCCGGGCTGTTATGTCTCTCTCGCACACATTAACCTCCCGCCAGGCTATTTTCTATCTCTCTCGCCCACTCGAGCGAGACGCCTGGCCATTTTCTGTCTCACTCGCACACAATCGCGTCGTGCAAGGCGATTTTCTATCTCTCTCGCACTTATACGCTTGCTACCTGGGCGATTTTCTGTCTCTCTCGCACTGGGTGCCCTCGAACGGGGCAACCGAGGGTGCAACCACTCTCGGAGGGTCGCGGGGGAACGCGATGCTGCTTTGATGGAAAAACCACCCAAGTCCCGCCTGGCTATTTGCTGTCTCTCTCGCACTTATACGCTTCCTACCTGGGCGATTTTCTGTCTCTCTCGCACACTTTAGCGAGCCGCCTGGCTGTTTTCTGTCTCTCTCGCACACAATCGCGTCGTGCAAGGCGATTTTCTATCTCTCTCGCACTTATACGCTTGCTACCTGGGCGATTTTCTGTCTCTCTCGCACTGGGTGCCCTGAAACGGGGCAACCGAGGGTGCAACCACTCTCGGAGGGTCGCGGGGGAACGCGATGCTGCTTTGATGGAAAAACCACCCAAGTCCCGCCTGGCTATTTGCTGTCTCTCTCGCACTTATACGCTTCCTACCTGGGCGATTTTCTGTCTCTCTCGCACACTTTAGCGAGCCGCCTGGCTGTTTTCTGTCTCTCTCGCACACAATCGCGTCGTGCAAGGCGATTTTCTATCTCTCTCGCACTTATACGCTTGCTACCTGGGCGATTTTCTGTCTCTCTCGCACTGGGTGCCCTGAAACGGGGCAACCGAGGGTGCAACCACTCTCGGAGGGTCGCGGGGGAACGCGATGCTGCTTTGATGGAAAAACCACCCAAGTCCCGCCTGGCTATTTGCTGTCTCTCTCGCACTTATACGCTTCCTACCTGGGCGATTTTCTGTCTCTCTCGCACACTTTAGCGAGCCGCCTGGCTGTTTTCTGTCTCTCTCGCACACAATCGCGTCGTGCAAGGCGATTTTCTATCTCTCTCGCACTTATACGCTTGCTACCTGGGCGATTTTCTGTCTCTCTCGCACTGGGTGCCCTGAAACGGGGCAACCGAGGGTGCAACCACTCTCGGAGGGTCGCGGGGGAACGCGATGCTGCTTTGATGGAAAAACCACCCAAGTCCCGCCTGGCTATTTGCTGTCTCTCTCGCACTTATACGCTTCCTACCTGGGCGATTTTCTGTCTCTCTCGCACACTTTAGCGAGCCGCCTGGCTGTTTTCTGTCTCTCTCGCACACAATCGCGTCGTGCAAGGCGATTTTCTATCTCTCTCGCACTTATACGCTTGCTACCTGGGCGATTTTCTGTCTCTCTCGCACTGGGTGCCCTGAAACGGGGCAACCGAGGGTGCAACCACTCTCGGAGGGTCGCGGGGGAACGCGATGCTGCTTTGATGGAAAAACCACCCAAGTCCCGCCTGGCTATTTGCTGTCTCTCTCGCACTTATACGCTTCCTACCTGGGCGATTTTCTGTCTCTCTCGCACACTTTAGCGAGCCGCCTGGCTGTTTTCTGTCTCTCTCGCACACAATCGCGTCGTGCAAGGCGATTTTCTATCTCTCTCGCACTTATACGCTTGCTACCTGGGCGATTTTCTGTCTCTCTCGCACTGGGTGCCCTGAAACGGGGCAACCGAGGGTGCAACCACTCTCGGAGGGTCGCGGGGGAACGCGATGCTGCTTTGATGGAAAAACCACCCAAGTCCCGCCTGGCTATTTGCTGTCTCTCTCGCACTTATACGCTTCCTACC